CCTGCCTCAATCTGCAGCAGGTTCAGGTCACCCTCCTCACTCACCCGAAGGTAACGCTTGTGCACCCAAATTTTGAAGATAGTCCTTAACGGAGAAATGGCAGATGCATGTCATGGCCACGAGTACTAAGTGCTTCTGGATGGGTCCAGGATGAGCCCCAAGGAGCAGGTACACCCGCGCTCCGTCCCCGGGAGCTGCTAGAGTCGGCAGGCGAGGGTCCGAACCGGCGCGGGATGGGGCGCAGCCGAGCCCCTCACCGCACTCCTGCGGCGGGGGTCTGCCACGTACCTGGGGCACGCCTGCATCACGTTGGGGTTTGGCACTGCCTGGGGCCATTACATAAACCTAATTCTATGCAAAACCCTTCCAGTGCACTTGGACTAAAGTCATGCTTCACGGAGCAACTGAAATCGTTGCCTCTTCCCGATACTCTGGGTTTTGAGCGTTCATTGTAACCGAAAGTACTGTGGAAACAGCGTGAGAGAGGCAGTACGCAATGGCACACTGTGGATATACATGAATTAGCTTCTTTAATGAAAGAAGTGTTAATTTGTTAAGCCTAAATAGCGATGCAGCGACATAAAACTGCAAGTTTTTTATTTTAGTTCAATGGAATCTGATTTCTGGGAATTCAGAATGGTTCCATCCTTACTCCTGGATTTTTTCCAGATGCAAAAACATTTACATCAACTGCCAATTCAAAACCATTCCACTTACCAAAAATCACAGTAAATCTTAAACACGATTTCTTTGCTGACAAGTGTTTTACTTACACGTGAATAGCTTTGCATATTTCATCTGCCGTCTTTCCAGCTTTTCTTAAAGTAATGGCAAGATTTTTGGCCCTGTTGGCATCCAGTAACGTGACTTTGTTTGACCCTTTCTGAGTTGTCTTTTGCTTGCTTGAAGTAAGATCAATGGCTGGACCTTGGGCTTTTGTTTTGAATATTTCTTCAAATTCATCCACGTTTAAATCCTAAAGAGCAAAGAAAATGATTTATCCCTCCCGCAGCAAACACTAAAACCCGCGCCGCCTAATATTGTGCCAGAACTGCAGCACGAACCCTGCGACGCTGTGACTACAGCAGAGCACCTTGACCAGGGGCTGCAGGACATAAGGAACGTGTGCTCCTGAGTTAGCGATCAGGAAATCTGGTCTCCACCCCCAATAGCTCCACACACGCTCAAAAGTTCAGGAAAATACTCGTGGTAGCAGTCAGGCTTTGCCCAGCCATGAGGCTCTTCGGGGCACGGGGAGCACGCAGGACCCGCGTCCTCAGCTCTGCTCTGTGCTGCTTTAGGTGGCACGCAGCCACCCACCCGAGCCTGACTCCTACAGACCGGACCAGCAACTTTAGAAAAATGCATCTTCCTCGTCTTGGTTGATCTGTTTTAAACAAATGCACACAACAAGCACACACCCTTTATAATCGATACTACCAGCTACCACCCCTGATTCTCAACCAAGGCGCTCACGCCGACCTACTGGGTACCAGGGGCCGCCGGATGCGCTGTTTGCCGAAAGAGTTGCTGCAATCTATGCCTGCAAAGACCGATGTGCACTTGTGTTATGGACAGAAGTGGGAGGCAGAAGGCAACGAGCAACGCTCATACCTCCAGGATCCTTTCGTCATCTATTTCGTTGAAGACCGTCCCATTGATCTGGTTGGGTTTGAGGGCGACCCAGTTGAACACCGGCATGCGGAACTTGGTCTTGATCGGCTTCTTGATTTTCACAGCTAAAGACAGCAGAGGAGAAGAAATGTCAAATTCCCCAACCGCTGAAAAACACCCCGCGTGCCCAGACTGCAGCTTTCAAGTCGGCATTTCAGCACTGGAGGAAGAACTGGCCAGAGTTAAATTATCACACTGGAAAGATCTCGCTGCCTGACAGGCGAACAGCGCCGAGAGGCTCTCATCCAGCCCCTCAGCTGTTTCGGGCCCAGCCTCTGCAGAACCCGACTGAGCGCCAGAGGCTGTGAAAACTTCACTAAAGGAAATGTGTTACGACTTTATTACCGCATGTTGTCTGGGTTGATTCAAAAGCCCAGGCTATTTTTAAACGCTACAGAAAATGGAGAGAGTGGTCGAATTTAACCCTGTCCTGCTGGTGGCAGAGCCCACCCTGGTGCGAGCTGACGCTCAGCCGTGCACAGCTGATCTGTGATGTGTCTCACAAAACTCAACGCAGAACAGGCGACGAGAAGGAAAAAAAAAGCCCCTTTCCCAAGGTTTTGGTACAGGGAGCGGCCCCTCCCACTGCCTGCTGCAATGGGACAGGGCTGCTTCTCACCAGGTTTGTCTTCTAAAGCAGGAGGGGGTGGGCTGCAGCACACATGAGCTTTAACGTGGTTGGAATAACAGGTTTAATCTTCCTGCGCTGTGCAGAGCCAGCGAACGATTTAGTAACTTACACAGAGAAGCTATGAAAATTAAGACTGACTACTCTCGTTAGTCTGGTGAACAGTACAAAAAAGCAACGTTGGAGCAAGGAAAACAACGCTTTTCTATTCCTATGCCTAACAAGTCTGGAAGGTACATGAGTAATTTCTGTAATTCAGTTCTCATTTCTTTGTATCTTGATGTAAACACGAAGTTGGTAGTTGCTACAAAACCAGGATGTTCATTAAAGTGATCGATCAACGTTTTGCTCCCGAATTACTTAGAAAACAAACGGTTTCTTCCCAAGCTGCAAACATGAAACAGAAACCCTGGTCCTTTCCCTCCAGTGCTGGA